GCAAAAACATGACAAGATAATTAGCTGCCGAGAGCGGGAGTGCCAGAATTGCGAACTAAGTTCACCTCTGTCGATATTGGGCTCAACTGCAGGCGTACCACAGCAAATAAGATGGAGCCGATGGCCGAGCGACATACGCGGAAGCCCCCGCCGCCAAGCCCAATGACAATGGAAATTTCTCCAGAATGTGTCCACTCGCAGACCGCGTGGGCAAAGTAGTCGACAATCGAGAGTTTTAAGCGCATCCAACTAAGGACCGGTCGCCCCGGTGGTCTAGTTGATATCCTCGAAACCTTCTAGAGGTCAGGTCAGGGGTTCGAATCCCGGCGTAATCGAGGTTTTCTTGCAAAGTGAGTTTTTCTCTCGCTTCCGCTCCCAGGGGATAGCGCTAGTTCGTGTGTACACAGAGGGAAAAGAGTGCTGAACTCTTCTCGCATTAATAATCGAAGGCAACGTACTGCAGGAGGGGAGGGTAGAGAGAGGCCCTTCTGTGTGACCACGGGTTGGAGAAAACGGCACTAGTGCTGTGAACGGTGATTTTTGAAGCGAAGACAAAAACAAGACAACAAAACAAAACAACAAAATATCACGTCCAAGAAGCAGGGCACGGCCCATGGCGCCGGCGGGGACCACATACGTCCACACCGCGCAGAAAAGCGGTGGCACGATCACCGCACGGAGGAAGTGGTCTCAAGGGAAGATTAAGAGTGTGCAAGCCACAGGAATTTCCACGGAATTTCTGAGGTTGGCGGCGCAACTGCAGATGTTGCGACTGCTGCTGCTGCTGCTGCTGCTGCTGCTACTGCTGCTGCTGCTGGGACTGCCGACGCTGCTGCTCTGGCAGCTGCTGGGACTGCGAAGGCCGCTGCTCCGTCTGGTAATGATGCGGAGACCACCGCTCCGGTTGCTATGGTTAAGACCACCGCTCCGGTTGCTATGGTTAAGACCACCGCTCCGGTTGCTATGGTTAAGAAGGCTGCTGCACCGGCTGCTGCTGATGCTGCTGCAGACGATGCCAGGTGTCTGTCGGCGAGGGAAGCGCGATGAAGCATCGCAGGAGTTTGTCGTCCCACAACAGCGGTGCGGGGCGTGGAACGGGCGGCCGCTCGAAGCGGCCTAGTTATTACAACCGCCATTCCCGGTCGCCAAGCACCAGCTCGTCGAACTCGTCGCTCTCCTCATCCTTCTCGTCGTCGTCCTCTTGCTCCAGCTCAGGTACCGGGCGTTTCTTTCGCAAATCGCGCCCACGCACGGCTGCTACTTCCTGTGCGAGGGTCGCGCGACGGGGCATGAGTGTCAAGCGACTCGTCACCTTCAAGAAACGCCCTAGGCAGACATGCGTGCGGAGCGCGCTCATCAGCAATTTTCGCTGCTGCCGCCGATGAGAACGTGGCCTCAATCTGAGGTTGGCTGCGGAAGCCAACCTCAGAAAAATATGTGGGGGCTCCGGCGGCTTGCACACTCTCAATACTCTGTATAGTGCGATGTTCCTCCGCGGCAGAAGAAGTCGTAACTTGATGATGAGCGCTATCCTCAATCATGGCTGCCTCTATCATTTCTTGGAGGGGCCGGGACGTCTGACGCCCAGCCTCTTCGCGCATCCGTTTATCTCTCTTCCATCGCGCTCACGCGCGGCTGCTTCGGCCTGTGCGAGGGTCTCGCGGAAACCGTTTTGGCGCTGGCTTGCCACCTGCCGTGCGGGCTTGCGGCGAGCCGCAAGGACCTCGAGCGTCGACATATCAGGCTGCGGTTCAGCCGAAGCAGTGGCTTCCTGTGAAACAAACCAGGGACTCCTGAGGGGCACACATCGCCGGAGCCAGCCCCGGGCGACGCCGCCGATTGCGTCTCCGACGTGCCTACAGAGATCGCCCTCAGCGGAAGGGGACGCGATTGGTGCGCTACCGTCATCTGCTCCCCTCGACGCCGAGAGCACATACTACCAGAGCGAGGTTGTTTATCCTCCTCGTCCATTGCGTCGTAGTCCACGTGGGACTCTTCGCCATCCCGCAGCGCCAGTGCCACAGCATCGGAATTTGCCGTAGAGTCGGGATCGACCGATATGCCATATCCACCGAGAAGTCAACATATCCATGTATGCTCTCTTACAATGATCATACACAATTGCCCCATTACAAATGTGCATCCCGAATAAGGTTCGACTGTACTGCTGTTGCTGGCCTCCGCACTCTTCGTGTACATGCGCTACTGCTGTTGCAGCGCCTTGTGCGTGTGTCTTGTTGTGTTTTCCTCTGCACTAAAAGAATGCCCATGCTCTTTGTGTGCAACTATGGCAGCTTTTTCTCAAAAGTGTTGCGGTGGTGTTGGGCGTTGTTTCCCAAGGCGGGCGGGTTCGGGAGCGGCTGATTTCCTATTTGACCAGGCGCCCCCTTCGGGACGTGGCGCACCACGTTACCCCCCCCTCTCCCCAAACGCAAGTATCATGGATAACTCATCCTTAAGAAACATATCCTGGGCCGGCGAAATCCGGGATACCGCTCCGCCCCGGAATTGTAGGGTTGCGAGGCCAATTACCTAACGTCTAAGGCACGTGTTTACATGAGTACACCCCCCTCCCTTCCTCCTCTTCGTTTATTTTGTTTGTATCCCGATGGTAGCGCCGATTTTAGCCCCTTGCACCAGGCGCCTCCTTTGGGACGTGGCACACCCTTGACCCCCCTCCCCCCCCGATCGGATAGATTGGAAGGGAAAATATTTTTTGAGCCACCGTTGGCACAGTAGGAAGGAACGATTGGCTATCGTGTTCGGTCCTGTGGGAAAAGTGTTCCCTAATCTCGAGGACGCCTGGTCGCTGGCCTAACCGTTACGGCGTGCAAAGCGTGAGTGCATCCCTCCTTACGGCTGTTTGTGTCCCCATTGCAGCCCGACTTTTGAGCCCGGTTGGCCTCCCCAGCGACGTGGCGGACAGCAACCGGCGGAGAGGGCAGCAATTTCATCACCACCACCATCATCAGCAACAACAACTACAGCGGCCGCAACAGCCACGCACCAAGCACGGACGCGTGAGCATCAACACCACCACCTGTGGGGCGCAGCAGGGGGAGGAGGGTGAAGGCGTGCCGGCGTATTCCGCTGAAAATGTCGTCCCGGGTGATGATGACGCTGTTGTGGACGAACGGGGGATAGCATGGGACGTTTGTTTGTTGTTACCTGGCTGCATGCTGTGACGACGGGCGTTGTCTTTCTTGCTCTTAAACTTGATGGTATGTGTACGGCGGAGGTTTAGGATTTGCGATCGGAACGCTTTTGTGTCGTGAAGACGACAAAAATCATTTGCGAATGGCCTGTAGATCGTTTTTGTGCAGGGGGTAGCATCAACTGTGTCGCTGTCCACTGACCAGTGGGCGTTCGCCAGTCTTTTGCGGGACAGAACCACGAACACACTCTCCAGTAGTCCGCGATGTGCAGTTTTTTCCGGAACCAAGCAAAGGGTGCCCCTCCTCCCAAGCCTTAGCTTTTTGTGCACGTCGTTTCGCAGAATGATGCATCCTTGTGCCCTTCTCCGCCCGCGCACCCCCTCCGCCAAAGTCCGCTTTTTTCGCTCTCTCTCTCTCTCTCTCTCTCTCTCTCTCTCTCTCTCTCTATCTATCTCTCCCTCTCTCTCTCTCTCTCCCTCTCCCTCTCCCTCTCTCTGTCCCCTTGTCGTTTTTTGTCCTTCTCTCTCTCTCTCTCTGTGTGTCTTGCGTCTCTCGGGTGCTGATATCTTCATCTTTCTCAAAACGGTGTGAACGCCTTTGGGTCCCCACCTGCCTTTCCTGTCCGTGTGTCTGTGATCTAGGTTCACTTTTTTTTTGTGTGTCTTCACTTGTTTTGGGTCCGTGGCTTTTGTCTTGCCCTGCCTCTTGTACCCCATTTCGTCTCCCTCCTTTTCATGTTGTCCTTTCCGACACGCAACGTGCCCTGTCTCAATACGCCTCTCAATTGACATCGCCCTTTGGCCTGCCTTTCGTGTACATCTATCCCAGCCTGTCGGCCCCATTTCTCTTGCCTCGTGTTCATACGAAGTACGGTACTTCGTAACACGTGTTTGTTTTTTTATCCTCTTCGACCATTGCTTTGTTGCCTTCCATGTCGCTTTTTCCTCCCCTGGGCCTCATAGCCTTCGATGGGAGTGGCCCCAACATCAGCGGCAGGAGGTTTAGCGGCAGCGGCGGCTCGGGCGGCGGCGGCAGCGGCGGCAGCGGCGGCGGCGCTATCAGCAGCTTTTTCAGAGGCGGAAGCAGAGGGTTCAACAACGGTGCTCCCAAGCAGCAACAACAGCCGCGGAGGTCCCCTGGGCGATGGTACCGGAGAGGTCGTTTCCTCAGCGAGGACAACAGCAGGAGCAACTCCGCGCGCCACCCCCACCTTGACTCCAACGTCGCATCGGCCTCTTCGTCTATTCCAGGTACATGGAGGCAAAGGGGGGGTCGTGTGCGCGCGCGCGCGGACAGGGGGGGGACGGTGCTCGTGCCTGGGGCCTCATGCTTTGCATGCCTAGATACGCGGCGGGAGAGGGGGTGTACCCATGTAAAACGCATGCCGTAGCCGTTAGACCATTGACGTCGCATCCCTTCAATGCCGGGACGGAGCGAAATGCCTTCCGGGTTTTCGCCGGGTCAGGCTACGTTTCACAAGGATCCACGAAAAGCTGGACACCTTCCTTGCGTGTGCTGTGCCAAATCGGATGCGCTTCGCGCGCCGGGGGGGGTTCCTTTCGATGCTTATGTTTTCGGCAACGACAGAGCGCCTCTGTTGGAATGTGAAGGGAGGATCAGGAGTGATGGTGATCGATATGTGGTGTGCGCATCGTGCCAAAGATGAGATATTGTGTGTGTGGCGACACCTTGGTGGTAGATGTGTGTCGTGTTTTACCTCCCCCCTCAGGTCGCAGACGAAGTGTTCTCTTTGTGGCGTTGGTTGCGCAGAAGTCGGAGGAAGGTTGCAGATGGAACAAGCAGGGTCGTTGCCGGCGCATTCAATCACGAAGAGGGAGGACGTGCATGACGGGCTCATCGAGCGAACCACTTCGCTGGTCTGCCTCTCCCGCCTTCTCTCTCTCTCTCTCTCTCTCTCTCTCTCTCTCTCTCTCTCTCTCTCTCTCTCTCTCTCTCTCTCTCTCTCGTGCTTTGCCTTTGCCTACTGCAGTGGAGGGTGGGTGTTGTAAACACTCTTACTTGCTGTGTACCAGTACTATCCTGTGAATGATGCTATTCTTCCAACAACACGCAACGATAATAACAAAGGCAGGAGCATTGCCCTTGTGGTTACCTCGCGGAGACGATGATGAATAGAGATAGGTAGCTGCTGGACAGTTGGCGCTTCGACAAAATATGCTTTGTTTTTGTCTCGATTTCTGCTGTACGGTGCCCTACGGAAAACCCTTCAAACAACGTTGGTCTCTGTTCGCTTCCCCGGTCGTGTCTGTTTGCTACTGCTGTATTCCTCACCTCTACCCTTTCGTCGTCGTCAGGAGGCGAGGGGGCCCCGCAGAGGATACCACCGTCTCTGTGGGACATCTGGAGAAAGAGGCGGGGAACTGGATCCTTCGACGGCGCACTGGGCCGCCAGAGTTCTGATGTGAGAGTGACAAGACACACAGAGACTCACAGACAGAGGGTCTTGGTCTCGTACTTCCGCGATGCTTGCAGACCCCATAGCATGCCGGAGGTGGTTTTTATTTAGGGAAGGGGGGGGGGGGGTACGCGGCTCTTGTTGCGGGTACTCCCACATCCCTGCTCCTACAGCTGCTGTAGGCAAGCATAGCCTCGGCCCTCGTACGCATGTGCGGCAAAAACTGGTCTCAGAGACCTCCCTGCAGGGAGTGGTTTGATATTTCACAGCAATTTTGTGCTTCGAGGGAGAATTACAAAAGATTATCAGCTAACTGTCTATGTAGCCGCCCATTTCTCTGGTCGAATCAGACGTAACTAAATCCGGGATGACTGTTTCTTCGGCAGCATTGTTTCGCTTCTCGTACGATTCTCTTCAAATTTTCATGGACGACTTTTATGCAACAGCAACAACATCAACAACAACAACAACAACAGAAGGCGTTTGAGACACCACCCCACCCTCGCCACGTCGCGACCTCGCGTTCGCGCTGTCCCTTCGTCCGCTCATCGCACGCGGTCTACCTATCGGCCAGGATTCTGGAGGATCCAGCGGGTCTTACGGTCGCGCCGGACTAGGCTTCGACCCCGGCTCGAGTGTTGGAGGGGCGGGCGGGGGGGGGGGCGCGTCGCCTGGAAAGGTTCCCGAACTGGTTCGCGTGGCGCTCTTCGACCCGGACTATGACACTTCCAGGCAGCACCTCGTGAAGCTGGTGAGGACTATCTACAAGCGTACCTCATGTTGTTGTTGTTGTTGTTGTTGTTGTTGGTGCTGCTGCTATTGTCGCACGCGGTGGTGGCGGTGTTGTAGGTTGTGTGAGTCGCGTTTCCCGTAGCGTCTTCGTTATCGCCACCACGTTCTCGGCTGTCGGGCCAACTCTGGTGCTTACGGTGTGTTACTCCCGGAAAGAACGCCATGGTAGAAATTGCCGAAAACCAAACCTGTCACCACTAGACACAACGAGGAAGCGCAATAGCAGTAGCATCCCTTGCAGTGAAATCCCGCTTGGTGCTTCGCACGCCACTGTTTGGCAGCTTCCATGGAGCTTCTATCGATGTGCGCGGCACTCGTCGGGGCAACAACACCTCTCGATGAAACTACTGGGAGATTTTTCTCTCGCGTGCGTCAATCGTAGGTCGCGATGTCAGTTAGAGATCAGGACCTCAACATTGTCGTAATTTGTAGCTCTTGGACCAGTTGTTTCACTTCTTTCGTGTTGTTTTTCATGTCGCTCTGTTGTACGTGCGTTTGGTAGTTCGATGCTCTCGACACGAACGGGAGCGGTACGATCACGTACGAGGCGATGAGGATGGGGCTGGCCAACCTCGGCACCTATAGCGACGTCAACTACCTCATGCAAAGGGTGAGAGCGACCCTAGACCTTTCTCAGGAGAGGTTCGACGAGCGGGCTACGGCGTGCTGTACACCCACTACAACATGAGGCCGCGAGCTGTCACAATTTTCATCTTTTTTGTTTCGAAGTGACCACCCGCGCTAGAGTCAAGGCTAGTGACATTGATGCAACAGAGGGGTTCCCGTAACCCCCATGCCAGCATTTTCGTTGAACGAGGTCGGTGCCCTAGCACTCGTTCATGCGCCGGCACGGCAGTCATGAAACGATATGTTGCAAGCTAGGCAACGAACCAGCGGCCAATGGTATGCATTTCCAACAGGAACAGTTGTAGCCATTTGCACGAACAGACACACCAATTGGTCGTTTCGATTTTTCTTCTGTGCCCCCTAGGCGTCAAAGCGGCGACCAATGGCATGTATTCACAACTGCAACAACAGTAGCCATTACACGAACTGCTGTTACATGGTAAGTTCGGTTTCTTCTGCGTGCCCCCCAGGCGGAGATGGACAAGACGAAGGAGATTTCGCTGGACGGGTTTGTGGACATCGTGCAGGACTACGCCGAGAAGTGAGGGCCACCCCTCACTCCGTCGACCCCCCCTTTTTTCTCCCGTCTAGTCTATGCACCACCCCCCGCCGGCCGCTTGTTGAGTCAATTTACCTTCCACCCCCTACCTGAATCGTTCCATCCCCGTCCAATCTAGACACTTTATGCCATTCGACGTTTTTGCTTGTGCCAACGCATGTTCAGAAGATAATTGTGTTCCGTTCGCTTACCGCTCTTCTTCTGCGAGCCTCTTCCGTTTTTTCTTTATTTTGTCTGCATACACCACTCGATGTATGTTTTTTTTTGTGCCATGACAGGGCGTTCGTGGCCAATCACCAATCAGGAGGCCCCGGCGCCGTGCTTCTGCTGCGAATATTTTCCTTTTTTTTTCCATCTTTTCTGCGTACAACTCGACTGCTTTGGTTCGTGCCATGGCAGCGTGTTCGCGGCTAGTCAGGAGGTCCTGGTGCCGTGCTTCTTTTATGAGCCTTTTCCTTTACCGTTACTCATATCTGCATACCGCTCGACTGTTTTGGTTTCTGCCATGACAGGGTGTTCGCGGCGAATCAGGAGGTCCCGGTGTCGTGCTTCTGCTACGACTACTCCCCGGAAGAAGTGGCCTTCCGATGGTGAGCCCAAAATCCCTCTCCCTTGCATGCTTGCATGCTCACGCACACTACCTGGCACTAGGTTACATGACACAAGAACCCACACACCCTGAACCGGTTTTCACAGCTCAATTCCTTCATAACAGGATAAGTGGCGGCGCCGAAAACGGCGGCGTTGAAGCCGTCTCGTCGAGAGCTTTCCGAAAACGTGTAATCGTTTCATGGGTGTATCCTCTTGGTTCGTGTGGAGTAATCTACTGCAGCTTTGAAAATCGCTCCCAATGTGTACCGAAGGGTGTAGAATACCGAGAGGTGTAGACAGTGTTTACCGAAAGGTGTAGGCTGGCGCCAGTATTGTTGAGGCGAAGCTGTCGATGGTTCCGTTATCGTTGCTCGTGAAGGTGTAAGATTAGGTACGCGCAATCGCTGCCACCGCCGCCGATCCCCCAATCTCCAGTGTTTTTCACATTATACGGTACGCGTGCTACTATTGGGTGTTATTTTCGTCTACTACAGTACAGACTCCGTTTGTTTTGGCCTTGTCTCTTGCGTCCCCGCCCCCCGCCCCCTCTTTGACTTGAATTACCCTGCATCAATTCGTATTCCCCGCTTCGTGCTGCTACCGATTGTTCGGGGTCACCGTCGCTTGCTGGCCTCGACTTTTATTTCCCATCAGGGTGAAAACCGGGGATCCGAATCCCCCATCCCCGAGCGTCTCCCTCCGGCGGCTTATGGCAGAGCGAGACGACCAAAAGGTAGCTCGAACAAGCTCTTGATCGTTTTTTATCGTTGTTGTTTGATCCTGTACCCGACTACCTATGTTGGAAGTCTTGTGGTTGCTTTCCGGCATGCGCCACGTAGCTTCCGCAACATTTTCATCTTGTCGTTACACTTACGGCCATACTAAATTGCCTGGCGGTGGCTGCGCTGTAGTGTTTCGGTTGTCTGGTGGTGACCAAAATTTGTTTGTGTCGTTGCTCTCTTGTTGATACCTCTGCTTTTCTCATGCTACGCCAGGAGCAAATTTCGCAGTCACACGAGATGGAGCTCTGCAGTACATTTGCTTGTAGGTGCATGTGCGCACGGTTGGACGAGGAACGTGCGCAGAATGAAAAAACAGGTTCACGATTTTCGTCTTCTGTTTTTCATGCCGCACAACACGCGTGCGAATGAACAGGGCGATGTGCGGTGGGTTTGCGTCACCGGTTCGGACCCGTCGTTGGTAATACACATGGCGAACCGCTTCGGCATTCACCCGCTTCAGGTAAGCTGTGGAACGTTGTTCATTTTTTCCTGGGGTGTTGATCTTGTTGTTGTTGTTGGTGGTGGTGGTGGTGGTAGCGGTGGTGGATGTCATGGTGTCTCTGTTGTAGTGGTTGGTTATTTTGTTGTTGATGTTGTCGTTGTTTTTATTTTTTTCAGTTTTGTCCTGCGCGTTTGTATTTCTACTGTTTGTTTTCTTCTGGCGCCGTGCGTCCCCGCTCTTAGTGCCACCCCTGTCCTGTTTCATGTTTCCAAGGTGGAGGACTGCCTCAACCCAAGGGAAAGGCTGAAGGTCGACGCCTTCCAAGCTACCCCGGTAAAACCGTCTAGAATTCCAAGCGCTACCTACAAGTTTCAGGCACCGGCGAAAGGCACTAAAGGTAGTACAAACGACGAACCAACGGTTTCAACGACTATGGGAGGGTCGACGGAGGTTCCGATGCCTGCCTCGACGTCGCCGGCAGTGGCAACAGCACCACCAACAACAACAACAACCACCACAGCCACGGAAACGGTAGACAGTGCGGCGGAGGCGGCGGCGGAGCTAGAGGCATCGGCGGCGATGAGAAACGAACTTCTCCCAAGCTCCACCTCGATGTTATCCGGGGCCGCTGACCAATCGGAAGGAGCTCCGCCGCGTCACCCACCAGCGAGGCCCGAAGCGGGACGAGTCTCGCCGGTAAAGATTGCGAATCTTTCGCACGGTGCGGACCCGGATACCGGCGGGAATGTCGCCGGGGCCGGTTCCGCGGCGCGCGGCGAAATCGGTGCCGGGTCGGGGGACGGCGGCGATGTACCCACCCTGACCCCCAATGACGACGGTGACGATCCCGGCGCTCCTGCAGAAGAGATCCTGCACGTTGTCCTTGGAAGAATATCTCTGCGAGAGCCTACTCTGGGCAGGCCTTCCAACTTCGAGAGGGAGCAGGTGCGGTCGCTCATCTTTGCGATTGAGCAAGACGGGGGGCACTGGATTAAGGAAAGAAACGAGAGAACGGGGGGGGGCGGGGTTTGATTTGTTGGATTTGGTGTGGTAAAACAATACCGATATTGGTCGTACAGGTTAGGGTATGGTATATTTGAATTTTTTTCACGTATTATAGTATTGGTTGAAGTATGAAACGGGCGGGGATGGTTCCGTGGAAGTAGTATTTCGTGCAGATGCGCATGTTTCTTTCCAGGAGCGTACCCGCTTCTGTTCGCTAAAGAGGTGCGTACTGCTTAGGTGTTCCCTCTCGTTGATGGCCCGTGGTTTGGAGGCCACACAACTGGATATTCCTTTTTGTTGCGGCGAGCCCACTCCCTCTTCCTCACCAGCCTGCCCAATCTTGATAAGTCGGCTTGTTTCGCTCGTCTTATTTGAGTTGTTATCGTCTTTGTTTGTCCAGTTTCGTCACCTACCAGAGCGCGATTTTATTGGTTCATGGAGTTTCGGCCGCAGGAGTGATGTTGCACGCTGCACATGTTGCACACGGCAGGGGCCTCCAATCTGTGGAATACAGTCCGGCATCCCCATTTCCTGTTCCGTGGTCCGCCCCACAATCGTCCAAAATTCTTCATAACGCCTTCATCCAACATCTTTATATTTCAATGTCCGCATTTTTTCGTGTTTCATTGTTCAAATCTTCTCGTCTTATCATCCCGCCGCCCTATCCAGTATTGCCCTCAACATTTCACCTCGTCCAACTTGCAGCATCGGACCTCATCCAACAGCAGTTCTTCTGTCTTTCCCTCCGTGTTTCATTCTTCACACCATCCCGTTTATTTCCCGTCCCATATTTCGTCCCATGTTCCGCCGTCGCCAGGTGTCCGTCTTCCTCGTGGGAGACCACACAGTGCTCTTCATCGAGCCTACCCGTTCAAAAGTCAGCGACCAGATCTCGAACCGCATCTACTACGCGGGTAGCAAGCTCCGCCTGAACAACGCCAGATACCTGGTAAGCGGAAAGAAAAAGGGGGGGCGGGGGGGGGGTGGAGAGAGAGAACGAGATGCCCGTGCGTATCCGGAGGTCTGCCTAGCGGGTTTCTGGTACTCACGATGCCATTGCTTAACTCGCGCCACTGCTGTGGTGGTGGTCCAAGCTCCGTCACCTCACCAACACGCGTGACGCTGCAATGGGCGCGTGAGAAGAGCGAAGTTCGGTTTGGCTTCGCAGCTATTGTCCCTCGGTGTCGTATTTCTCACATCAAGAAGGTCATCGTTCCTCAGTGTGCCCCCCGTACATGTCGAAATCGAGCATTTTCGTCAGTTTTTACGCCCCGCTACTACGTCGCACACGCCACCGCCCTACCTTTTTTGTTTAAAGGTATGGTATCTCTCTAAACACCATGCCCGATTATCGTCTATCCATCCTTGGCGAGGCCTCACTTACCGTTCCGGGCGAACTTGGCATTTTCTATCGCCACGATATCGTCATGACGAAGCAGTTATTGTGTTTTGACGCTAAGCACGAGAAAAAGTAGCCACACACACACATGTGACTCGGTATTGCGCCGCACTTGAAACGAACGGACCGCCCACCCGCAGGTGTACAGCCTCATGGACAGCATCGTGGACGATGTTTTCCCCATCATGCAGCAGTTCCAGGCCTGGGTGAGACCACACGCAAAGGTTGCAAGCTCCATGCCTTTCAAGCACAACTGTTTTGCCTCGAAAAGACAAGGAACGCTTGTTTCTCCTACATACGTGTGATGTATTTCGTCAGGACTGGGTCCTTTCTGGGAGGTAGTCAGCATGTGGCCAACCACGAAAGGCTTTGTGCCCGTTGGACCGGTGCGGATGCTGGTGTTGAGAAAAGATGGGAACGGTGTTTAGTGTTAAGACAAGGACCGCCTTCGAGGGATTTTAAGAGTATCTAGAAATTAAATAGGGAGGGGGCACGCAGACCCTATGCCTATAACCCTTACCCTAACCCCAAAGCACGGATTCAATACTTTATCCTATATTTGTGCTTAATCAATTTTGCTGTGTACGGCAATGACGATTACAACATGGCAATACCACAGAAGCACGACAAATACCATTTGCTTCTTTGCCAGGGCCACACACCCAGTTTTCTGTTTGTTTTTTTCCTTTCCCCTCTCGTCCGGCCGTTCGCTCCAAAAACGTTCTCCGCTTTGCCATCATCGTTTCGATTGTGTGTGGGGGGGGGCAATAGCTCGTACAACTGCAGGAGCAGCTCCACTCCGAGGACGCCGGTCCTTCCCTAGACATCGTGCGAGCGATCCAGCAGATCTCGAGGGACATGCACATGATCACGTTCTACCTCCGCCCCATGAAAGTTGTGGCCGCCCAACTCATTACGGTAAGGTTTTGTTGTACGAAGCAGTGTATGTGCTGTGTGCATTTCGTTCTCTACCAACATGGCTTTTTTTTTTTCGTGGTTTTCTGGCTCAACTCATGCTTTGCCTTTGAGGTCCGGTGGTATATGCGTATCCCCCGGCTGATACCGCTCATTTCATGTTTTGGTTTTGTCTCCTCCTTTCCGCTCAACATTGCGCCTGCCATACCATGCTTCTTCTTCTTCTTCTTCTTCTTCTTCTTCTCCTTCTTCTAGGATCTACCCGGGAACGACGCCGACCTCAAGAGACACCTGGAGGACTTGAGGTAATTGTCACACTATTAGTGGCGGGGAAGATGCATAATTATGCTGGCGTTGCTGATAGTCGTTTGATTCATGCCGGCAGAGACACCGAAGAGTAAACCTACCCTAGGAATTGAGCGCCCAAGAAGGGGCGAGGATGAGGGTTGGGGACATACACACACGCAGGCAGCAGTCAGAAGAAGTTGCATTCAACACCTTGTGTAGGCATTACAGGGAGGGGAGGCATCCGAATCGACGTCCTAGATACGCGAGATGACGTTACCGATTCCAGCGACATACGGCCGATCCTCTAGTCTACGGTTGCAGGCGCGAAGTCTTGTAACTGATTTCGCGTGTTGCGCCCCGCGAAAAACAGGGACCATCTATTGATGCTAGAGGAGCAGGCTTTGAGGATGTCGACTTGGAGCCGGAGTCTTAACAAGGACTGGGTCAACGAGCAGCAGCATAGGATGAACGTGAGTTGGACGTGGGACGGCGAGGGTGTTAATTTCGTGTTGTTTCATTGCAGCGCCTGTTGTCGTCGTCGTTATTGCCTGTGGTTGTTGGTTATTGTTGTTCTCATTTTCGTTCTCGTTCTCGTTCTTGTCGTGTGTTGCTCCGTTGGTGCATGTCGCCGTGGTCAGCGTGGTGGTTGTTACTGTCGTTGCCGTTGCTCTGTCTTTGTTCTCCTTTCGTTGCGGTATGTTTGCCCATCGCAGTGGTCACCCTTCCCTTTTCTGGCATGCCTTCACCCAAGGGTTTCGCAGATTCTTATTTCTCCCCACACCCCCTGCCGTAGGCCAGCCGCCCGCTATCCGTTCCACCCCCCCACCCCCCCCCCCCCAACCCCCGCGCGGCGATATAACAACTTCTCAGCAAGTGGTGTACATTCTGACGATGGTGACCTCGGCCTTCATGCCTGCGCAGTTCCTCACTGGCGTGTTTGGGTGAGAAGAACACAATAACTACAGCAACGATAGTAGAGCAAAAGTCGAAATTCGTTTCAAAGAGCTGGTTGCTAGCCTTCCCCTTGTGTGTGTGGTTTGACGTGACACACTCCGGTTGCACATTCGGATGTGTAACCGGGTCCGCATCGCATCATTTTCTTCGTCAGCGAAACCCTTAAGTGGGGTGCGCAACACACTCAGGCAGTCTTTGTCGGTCGTTGAATACTTGCAGTTCGTTTTAAGGGCGGGTTTCAATCTTTTCGGCAGTTCATTGCTTCAGCGTGTTTGCGCTGGATGGGCGTCTTGCGTTGTCGTGACACCCCGCTAAAGGATTGTGCGCAAGATGTTTTCGACCACCCTCTCTCCCCACGCCCTTCGCACCCCGACGTCTTGTCTTTGCCGGCTCTGCGGGGATTGCAGCATGAACTTCAAGTTTATGCCGGAACTGAACTGGAGGTACGTCTTGCATGCACGGCGAGGGTTGTTGCGGGGAGTCGTTGTTGTGCTGGGTGTTTTATCTTCACCGTACAGGACTGGGCCAATTCATGTTTTTTCACTACGGTGGGGCATACGATTCTGTCCCCTTGTGTTTTGTTCGTTAGATCAGTTGTGTCAAATATCGAAGTTCAACTCACACTATCGAGACAGGAAGAGAGGAACTTTTCCGTGGAAAAGGCTCATCAGCCCATGAGTGGTCCGCATATCTTACCTCTCCGGAGAACCAGGTACAGCCGCTTCTATTTTCCTTTGGTTTTGTTTTCTTGTTTCATGTCGAATACTCACCTTTTTGACAACATTTTTGTCGTAGCTGTGAAGTGCCTCACCGCACTGAGAAAAAAGACTAGGGTGATGTCTTTGATTTTGGGCGGTCAAAGTTGTCAATACAATGGGGGTGTGATATGCATACACCATCGTGTCATGTTGAAACTTGAAAAATCGATTTTTGGGGGCACTGGTGTTGAACAACAAAAAACTGCCATGTACAATAGTTATTCATTGGTGCGCATATCCTGGAAGCAAATCCCTCTGGCCTACAATCTCATATCGTTTTTCTTTAGCCCTACACCCGTAAGACCCCCGCGCGAATTTTTCGCGCTGTATCGTCGACTGCAACGCCTCCTGTCTGGAAAACGTTGCTATCCTCTTCGCACAGGTACTCCTACGCTTCGTTCTGGGTGCTCGTCGCCTTGTTGGCGTTCTCCAGCTACACCGTGTACAAGAGGCACAAATGGTTGTGAAGACCTTTTCGTTATGGAAAATATTCATGCAATACAAAACGGATTTCCCTCAGTAGACTGGTCTCAAGAGGGACACAGTGGGATGCCGTAATACGGACTACTGAGAACGGGGGCTGTCATGGTGCCGTCTGAGGCTTGGCTTCAAGAGGGGCGTGGTGAAGCCCGTAAACGGGAGGTGTCGTTGTTGTTGTCGCTGGTGTCTTCCACACCTTTTAAAACGTCCTCTCCTTAGTGCCGTAACGTATCCGTACTGGTCGCTGGTTTTAGTGCCATCTCATACATGTCCGTGTCGGCCCAACCGACGCGAATGTCTTCCGATGTCACAAGTCGACTGCCCCAAATAGGGTACATGTAGACAGCAGGGGAGTACGTACAAGTAGCCGTCTGAGACTGACCGAAGCTGTCTGAGGCCGGCCTCAAGAGGGGGCTCCGTTAAGCCCATAAACGAGACTCAACGGGGGGTATTGTGTGAAGCCCTTACAGCAGTAGCCAAGGTTCGACGAAGCCGTCCTCAAACACAAAGGGACGTGCGCAGAAGAAGGCGATGGAATTTTGAGAGGCTTGTTTCAAGCATGACAGGTAGAAATGTCTTTAGGGTAGGAGCCTTGTTGTATGATAGTTGACGTTGTGCTGTGTAGACCGTTACGTCGGCGTTGGCTGGGCTGCGATGTAGATATGTAGTCGAGGTGATTGTTTTGCTGGTAACGAGTTTTGGGACCTCTGTGCAAACACCATCTTGCGTGCCGAAGACACGAATGTGTGGTTGTTGTAGCGTTGAATAGGAAATTTGTTGGTGCGGGCGGCGTCGGGAGTTATCTTTTAGATGCTGCGAATGTCGTGTTGACGAGTGTTAACGAGATATGACGAATGATTGTAGGGTGCGTTCTGGTCCAGCCGACGCATGTTCCTTCCGTCGTCGCATGTTGACTTCCCGACTTCCCCGAAACGGGTACATGTACATGTTTTACAGCAGTAGAGGGCATTTCCTGCTGCAAGAATTTGCGAGTAGCATTGGGTTCTTTCGGTGTTCTTTGCCGTCTAGTCGCACCAGTCTTTCGTGGGTCGGCCCATGGCAACAATCCTGTGTCTGTGCCTCGAAAGAGGCTGCTGAAGAAAACTGGGTAAGGTAACTTGTGAGCAGAGAGAGAGAGAGAGAGAGAGATTCAGATTGGTGAGGGGGAATCAGGCACCAGGTTTGTTGCCTGTTCCTAGCGCTCGAACGCAAGCGATATATGTAGTTTTCGTCGTGTGTTTCCAACTGCGTAACCATCTTCTATGTAGATCGACGATGCTGAGATAGAGAAGGAAGGAGGAGCCAGCGTTATTGATTGGAACACAAAGCTTCACGCTTGATTCCCTGTTGGATGTACTCACAGCATTGGCAGATTATTGCAACCGAGGAACGTTCCGAGAAGATGGAATGGGGAAGTTTGGGGTTCTGCAGTTGTGATAAATTGGGGGAATGGTGGTACCATCTTTGCCACGTATAGTTGTTTTCTGGGTATGCGTGTCTGCAACGGTGTTGGCCACGTGCTCTTGGATAATTCATCTTCGTTTTTTCCCGGTTATCACGCCCTGGGCTATCACGCCCGTGTCCATACTACATATCCACCAGCTATCACGCTGCCAGGCTGCCACGTCTCCAGGCTATCACGCCATCACCAAGCCATCACACCACAAGGGCCATCACATCAGAGTTTCCACGCTCCAGAACATCGCAGATGCGGGCTACTACGCCCGCGGGTATTTTCCCCTATTTTATCGTTGCCGGTGAACTCTCCACGCAGTTCTTTTATTATTGCCTTCTACAACTGCGCCGGGCGCACCAAGCTATCCAACATTCCCCCTCAAACTTGTATCCCTACTCACAAGTCAGCTTTACCCAGCGGGGGAAATTCGACTAGAAATCAGACTACTACTTGCGGCACCCAGGGGTGTGGAATGACCAAGTCCGTCCCCCAATCGTGCTCCACTATTCAACAACGCCCAAACTGGGGTCTTCTCCAGACTGCTGCCCTCGCGAAGTCAAGATTTCGTGCCCAATACCGCCTTCCCCCGACTGTCTGGCTTGTAGCCCACTCCCATTCGTCAGCTTTCGCGACACTCGTTGCGAGTCCTCTTAAGACATTCTTCTGGGCAGGCAGATTGAATACATCCGACGACCAGTTTCTCTCTGAACGACCGGCTAGGAAACGGACCCCCACCCCGGTTCAATACCCATGGCCCTCCTCCGATGTGCAATGAATGTAAAGTGAGGGTTGTCGCCCAGGCTGAGCGATAACGTCAACGGACGCAGTCAACGCTCTTCCGTACTTTTCATAACAGCCTGGGGGTAGCCCCGGGCTCACCTGAAGCCTTGTTCCCTTTTGATTGGGAGGACGTCTGTGTAGGGTATGGGGTATGATGCGAGTTGCTCGGACGTAATGAATATAATTTCGAGGTTGGACAAGTAAAGCAGGGAACATCAAAACAAATAACGAAAAATAAATAAAAATGGAACGCTCTGTCGTACTTCACTAACCTACGAGGACAGCTGTATGGGGACGGATAACTGAGGACACGACACCAGCTCGATTATCAGAGCGGCTGCCCCGCCGCTATGTAGCTCTTAATTCCCCCGATCGCGGGCTCATTGCGTAAATCCGCGTCCGCGCACTGTTCCCTATCTCATCCGGTCTGCAATGCGGGAAATACGGCAAGTCTTTCATTTTTGTTTCCAGAGAATAACGATGCTGCATCTGGGAGATTGTTGAGAGTTGGGGAGAGTGTGCGAACTATTTGATAATTTTTTGAGGCCGAGGACAGATGGAGAGCATGGTCAGGGATAAAGAACTCACCGGTGGATAGTTGTGCTGGGTCCTCCTAAGCGATGCAAAGACGATGTGTGTATTTTTTTCATTCCATCTGATCTGGACCACACACAACAAATTATGTATGGCGTTCCTCTTAAGACTGTTGTTGCGTTTCTACTGTTCGTCACAAAAACTATCACCTCTCCTGAGCCGGTTTCCAAGCTCGATTTTTCCACGGCGAGAATGATGGAATCAATTAGAGCACGTTTCCAGAACGCTCTCAACGAGCCGATTTCAATGCCGCCGCCATTTTCAGCATCGCCACTCTTGCTGTGAAAAATGTTCCAGGGGGCGCGGTCCCTTCTGTCACCGACGGTGTAAACCTGAACTTGCTCTGCAAGGTGCGGCCTGACCACCAGAACGAGTAAGAATATTGGGACTGACATGTTCATTTGGTCAGCTGGTTAGCGCCGTTGGTGCCCTACACAGGCACCACAGAGAGCATCAATTTCGACTCGGCTTCTCTTCTTCAGCACGGCAACTGCCGGGAGGCCCGCCCGCAACAACAGAAGAAATAGCAGCAAGAGCAGTGAAAACGATGAAGGATTAATGTAACAGCATAACGGCCGCTTCGATTGCGTGAGGCTCGACGCTTATTGGTTGCCTCAAACCGAGCCCATGTTCTCATTCTGGAAGTTCATATTTTGTGCATAGGTGTAACGAGGTTCTTGTTCATATTTGTACGCCGATTGCCCCATGCAGAGCACACAGTTCTTTCTGGGTAGATTTCAACGCGACACTGAGAGCACAACAGCGGGGTAAACACCCGCAGCAGTAAAATTCCGTTCAGACCCGATGGATCAAAATCTGGATCAAATAACTGACTCGCGAATTATCGTATCGGATATCTTGAGATTGAAAAGCGTGAAGAGGTCACTCCCTCCTTTCGCTCCAGACACTAATGAGCTGTCGGGGCGGCGGGCAGAGCATGCCGACGCAGTGATCTGCCCCTGTTTCCATGGAGGTCTAGTTCTCACCACATGGTACCATTTTACCTTGGATAGTCGTGTTGATTTCGCAGAATTTCCACAGTCATTTCTTCAACCGTGTCGTGATACTGAAGTTCTGAGAAGGTGGAGTTTTGATTCAGTGCATGTCGGTTCCCTCAACGAGGAAGCCTCCTCGAAGCTGATAGTGAAACATGTATATGGCAATGACGTTCTGCGGTGGTACTCTTATGATTCGATCAAACCAGCGAGATATGCGTGTCGGAGTCAGGACCCGGTTTCACACCGGGACTTCCGGTACAGACACCGATATGAATATCCTGGTCAAGAATGAAAGAGTGAAGTTCTAACGAAGGGTTACGAGAGTCAAACAGGATGTTTCGAACGAGTCGGAACTCGGTTTCACACCTGAACTTGGGACGCCGAAAGCCCTGCCTGTGAATGTCACGGGCAAGAACATCGTGAAGACCGTGTTTCCGTGGAGCTCTATTTTGTCAACGACCCATGCCATTTTCCTTCAGGATGTAACATAATGTTTCGCACACCTCTCACTCCCACTTCGACGACAAGTGTCGTGCTACTGAAAACGCAGGGTTTCGTTTCAGATGCATATTGGTTCCCTCGACGAGTAAACCTCCGATGCACGAAACAAGGGGTACACTCGCTTGCGCCCCCCACTCCTTCCACCACCGAGGCCTTTGCTTACGTCTTGGTAGGCGGGGCCGTTCCGCAATGCCTATGGACCTCTGGGTGCAGTGCGCTGGCCAAATCGTAAGTGCCAACGAAAATGCTTGCCAACTTGGCCAGGCTTCCCATTCGTGGGTATGCAGTGACGGAGATAGTCTTCTCTGTGGATTATGTAGTAGCCGATCTACCTTGCGCCCTCTTTCGGTCGTCTTGAGAAAGGCAACATGAAGGCCTACATGTACGGCGGCAACCACGTGTTGCTTTCGGCCGAATGATGACTTGCGAGACAGCTGGAGCCCTTGGAAACACAGCAAAATTGGGATTGTGCAGGTTGGAGGTGTTTTAGGAAAGTTCCGCGCGGTGTCGTAAAGACGGGTTTACGACATCGCCGTGGTGATGCTACGACCACATTCATTCTTGGGTGTATCAGGGGAACCACGTTTTTAGTTTTGGTCAGAAGGTGGCTTGTCCAAAACAGCCGGGGGCCGCGGGAACACAGCTCAATTTGTTTCGTGCATATTGGAGGTGTTTTCGGAAAGTTGTTGACGGTGTCATACAAGAGCTTTCTTACGATTCCGCCGACGGCGGTGCTGTGACATGATTTTGGGCCATACGTCGGCAACCACCGGTTACTATGGGACGAACGAGAGCTTTACGCGACAGCTGAGAGCTGCAGGGACACAGACGATGTGGTTTTGAACCATTTTGTGCGGTGTCGTCAACATTGTAGACACTGTAATGGTATTTGACCCCTTCCTTCAGAATCAATCACCTTTGAGCTGTGTGGAACTCTCTTGTCCGACCACAGTAGCAGGTTGTTGTTGCTTTCCGTTGTTCTCTTTCTCTTGATTAACGCTTTCCAAGCCAACTCACAATATCCCACGCACACGCGATCATAGATCGCCTGTACGCACACACTGAACAGAAGGGCACATGTCTCGGCATAAAGCCCTGATCTAGCATGACGTCACGTCTTAGCATCCGACGGCGCCAAATAACCATGATCAACCACGATCACATGTCTACCTCCAAATACTCATAACAATAGCCCACCTTGAGTGGACGTAGATGCAGATACAGAAGCAAACCTCGGAGGGACTCTAGTCAATCAAGAGGATTGCGGGATGGATCGAAGATACGACAACTCAAAACCCTCACCCGCACCTCTCCGTTAACCAAACCAAAGAAGCGGAACCAAGAAAGAAGAAAACACAGAAGCCTGGGCGGCAAAGTCGGTGGATAAAATCGGAAAAAGGCACATGGGTGCGAAAAATAACCAAAACATCCGAACCGAAAAGACCATAACACGAAGTAACGAAATCGTGAAGAGAAAATCACAAACGATCTCGCACGAATGAACCGATCGAATACGCAATCAAGTAAGCCAGAACCTTACGGGAAGGGGGGCTACGATGCGATCGAGTGCTGAAATGTAAACATAAAGAATAAGAAACGAAAACCGAGCCTGCAAAGGATCAAACGACATGGAAAACCGCTAGGGGTCGACCAAAATCGAGAAAAGCAGGGAAAGAGGGGGTTTCCGGGGAACGTAAACAACGGCCAAAGAAAAGGACAGGAACCAACGCCAAAAACAACGTTCGCATGTCACGATACAACGTGCTTGCGATCGGGGTGGGGCGAGGAAAACAATCCTACGTGTACGTCAAGGCCAATTGTATGAAGAAAAATGCTAAAGAAAGTACCAAGATGGAACACGTTGGCCGAGGCATGCAATAGAAGCACTGACGGAACGTTGGACCACAAAATATGCAAAGCAAACCATAGGGTGGGGAGTTAAATGATGCACCAA